AAGTTTATCAATCTGGAGCCCAATTCTACAAATGTTCAGCTGCCATAAAATTACTGGCTCACCCACAGGATCAAGTGTAGGGTGTAGGAAACTGAAGTGCTTGATTCATGTCAGTTTTAAATATGTTTGCCATCAGAAAATCTTATATGATTTTTAAAAGTATTCCTTTGATAACTTAAACTAATCTTGAGTACAGTCTCTGTTCCTTCTGTATATGAGTGTTCAGGGGGAAAAAAACACAATGAATCAATAAAAACAATTTGTCAATTACTTTCAGATCACAATAATTAGTATTTTTGTAAATACTTATAATAGCTTTGAGAAATCAAGACATTTTACTGAGAGGGGAAAAACTTCCCTTTAAATCAGCAAATTGTTCAACACAAGTCTGTCAGGGTTTCCAGAAATTCACTCTGTAAGTAGTGCTTATATTACAGAATAGATGATCTCTACCAAATCATGAATTTTAGTGCCTAATGTGAAATCATCGTGGTTGTGAATCTACTGGGCAGAACTATAATTTAAGCACAACTCACCTCACGTTAGCAGTGAGTTTGGAAACAGGTTGTAGATCAGCCAAACAAAGTTATAAAATAAAACTTGACAAAATGCACTAGATGAAAGCTTTTTTTTTTTTTAATTATTAACACTTACTGCTGTACATTCTGTGGTAGCACAATAAAACATTCAAATACAAATGAAGGATGTGGAAGTTAAAGCAAGATCTATACAATACTTTGCTGTTTTAAATTGGTACAAGAGAAATATCAGGTAATTCCAAGGTCTTAACGGTTAAAAGCCAAATATAACCATGCAAAAGGTGCACTGTAAACTGATGTGTTTGGGTGATCTGTGACAATCTGACTAAGAAGTATTCTTTTTAAGGTAATCAGTACATTAAGCACCATCACAGTACTATTTAGACATCAAAGATTTGTTTTCCTGACAAACACAAAAATTTCTTCAAATCCAAGAACATATCTTAAATATTCTTAATGGAAAACCAGAACCATTTTATTAATAAAATATCTAGGTATGCAGTGAAAAACTTGTACACAATTTAAGAGAGCTTTTCTGCAGTATTTTATGATTTCAAGACTCCTATACGTTTCCTGCCTTCTTAAATAAATCAGAAAAACATTTCAGAGCTTATCATAAAAACATTTCCGGGTTTATCATAAAAACACAGTTCTACAACAGGATTCAGCTCATTCCCTAATAATGCTGTGGTTCAGAACCAGGTGTAGTGTATTTAACAGATGTAATACATGAATAAACTCTTCACCTTAAAAAGGATCAACCACAAGCTTATCATTACACATAAATTTAAGCACTCCAGGGAATCAAACCCTGACTCAGTACTTCAGTGCTGCAAATTATAAACTAATCAAGGATCTCATCTTCCAACCATGAGATTCTTATCCACAGATTTACAGATCTTGCTACTGGGTTATAACAGTATTCTACATTCTTCTTCAAAAACAGTATTCTTCAAAAATACTGTTTCCTGTGTTCCTTCTGCCTTTCAAATCCTTAAAATCCAACAGCCCATTTTTAAAATCAGCACAAACTACGACATGCCATTCTGGATTAGCACTTAATGTCTCCATAGGATTTATTTCTCACAAGTTCATCCTCTTGCTGCACAAAAGTTTTTGCTGAGAAAGGTGGGACAAGTCAAAGTTACTCTTCAGAACAATCCACAGGGATGACAATCAATAGGAAATAGGTGACCCTACTCAACTTCACAATAACAAACTAGGCAGACACAGCCTTTATTTTCTTTTCTTTAAGATGATGTTACCTTTCTTGCACTGTAATGCTCCAGTCTTTACTATCTCCCACGATCTTCGGATGTCAGCATGTCTTTGTTATAAATTGCCTAAATGGGAGAATCTGTAACTTCCTAAATCATGTAGTTTATAAAAAATGTCAGCATAGAAAGTTCTTTTAAAGGCACAACTTCATTTTATGGCCCAGGCCAAAGGAAACAGTTGTCTCTTTTTCTCTACGCAGTTCATCCCTGGCACTTTATCATTTTCAAAAATCTCTTTTTTTTCCCCCCAGCAAACAATAAAAATGTAACTCTCAATGTTTTCATCACAGTCAAGGAATTTCTTCAGTTCCTGCTGGTTTAATAAAGCTTTGAAAACTGTTACTCTAAAGCACAGCAGATCTATTTGCACAGCTTTCAAAGGATAACTGCACCAGTTCTGAAGCAAAAGGAAAATGTCTATTCCTTCCATTTCTATGGCCAACAATAACTTCTACGTTCTGACAGAATCATGTGTACACTGGCGGGGAAGGTAGTTTCAAAACACTTTATCAGGAAGTCCACAATTCAGTAAAATCCAGGCTCCCCAGACACTGATCCAAATTGATGCACGGGCTGCGACTCTGAACTTCTGGGCTGCTGTTCTGTCTTTTAAGCACAGTTACAGTTATTTTCTCCACCAAGAACAACACTTATATTTTTCAGTGTAGATCACTTTAATAGATGTGAACAATAGCCAAAGAGAATTCTCTTGAAGGAGACCACTGATCTTGTTGTACCTGAAGAGAACTCGATACAGCAGAACATTGGGTTTGTAACAACATACTCATCTACTTTAGATGATTCAACACACAGGAAAAAAAAAATAAATCAGTATCCCGTTTACATTGAACTGAAAAATACTTCAGTGGAATGTATCCCATGCTCCATTGGACAACAGTTTCTTAAGGACATTTAACTGAAAACAAATTGCATCTTCATTTTTGAAAAGGGAACTCTTCATGGAATTTCAGAGCGGGGAGTAACTCCTTAGGTATCTACGGCCCACTTAGCAATTCAGAGCAGAAATTCCTACACCACAGTGAAGGTGAATCTACATGTCACTAAAAGCAAGGCAGAGTTGTTCTCACCACCATTTTACCTGCCTAAAATCCTGTATCTCCTAAAAGCAGCAAAAAGAAGCCAGAGGGATCTAGTAGGAACAGGCTGAGTGTGAGTGCAAGGCAGGTGGGGGACTTGGCACAGGACGTGGAGAAAATCTACCATTTTTCTTATTTAACACTGTCATGCCTGTAACTGAAACAAAAAAAAGGTAGTGCTAATGTAGCCTGAAGTGACCTAAGACACCTTTCTGGTCCTAAATGAACTCCTTGACAAGTAAAAAAGAAGGAAAAGCAAAGAGCATTTCTAATATGATGCAGCAATACTAAGATATTACGTTAAAAAGCCAAATGCAGTCTTTATGTCAGTAAATTATGATCTGTGGAGTTTTGAAATACTTTAACTTCTTTATGGGTACAGGAGGCAACTGGCACAAAAAATATTCATATACTTATAAATAAAAATAAAGCTTTGACATTCTTCCTCTCCTAATCTTTAGCTCTATCATAATGGAAACAGGAAGGAAGAGAGTAGAACATTTCAGATAAGACTACCGAAAAATGATAACTCACAAAGGTAATATATTAAAAGCCACATGCAAGTAAATTAATAGATGATTCAACAATTCATGACCTAAAGTAAAATGATCAAAAGGGTGGTATCATGGTAACATGCAGGAAATATCTGTAATTTTAATAAATAAGTTGTCCCTATCATTAAAACAATTATAGATCTATGGGTTAGAATGTGGATGCTGTAACTATTTTGATTTACACATGACTGATTAAAAATTAAAAAAATAAGAAGCAGCAACACAGTAAAAAGCAGGTTTGCAATACTGGCAAGATTACTGAAAAGTAAATATCAGTAGTCTAAAAGTCATGGTTAAGTTCATCCTTCCTCAGCTCATCCTATCTGAAACAACATTCTGGACAATATTTCAGAGCCAAGACTTTAGTGAAAAGAGCCAATGATTACCACTATCCTTTGAAACTATGGATTTACGTGTCAGTACTCTGGGAGTAACTTTCTCCATTTCATTTTCAACTCTGACAAATGAACAAAGGCAAAAGTCCTGTAAGACACTTCTGCAAGATTTCATAAAGCAAAGCTCCCTTTAATGTGCCGCTGACCTCAGCAACTGCCAAATGTGCATCCTCTCCCTCAGCTCCATAATTACATTCACAATTATACATTTTTTAAATGTGCACTTTAGACACGAGCCCCTGCAGCCCAGCTCCCCATCTGCAGCCTTGCTGGTTAGATGTCTCTTAGTTTTAAGCTGAAATATTCTTTAAAGTGTTTGATAAATCAGAGCATGAAGCCACATGGGAACAAGACCATTACTTGCCATCCCCATAGTGTCTTGGATACACATAGAAAGGGGAAAATGCTGTGTAATGTCAGGTCAAACTGTCTGATCAACTTGTTGCTTTTTTACAAAATGAAGATTTGCAGCCAGCCCAGTGCAGCAGATTACCAGTCAAGATAAAGACTTCTTCTAAGGAATCCCTCTGATTATGCTAGTATCTTTAAGACTGACAAAACCCACCTGTTTAAACAGCATGCAAGGCTTTAGAAGTTACAAACTAAAAAGAAAAAATATAATGCCACAGCCTGGAACTGGGTTTCTAAGAATCCGTTGCTCATTTAAAAGAATAACCTAATTTTTTTAACAATTTTACTTCCTGTCTGCTAAAACCCAAGCATTCCATATCAAAATTGCATCAGCAATATTATGATCTCAGCAGTCTACATCTCAGTATTAGCACTGAAAGATGTTAATACAAAATATTTCTTTGCAAAAGTATATATGGCAACAGGAAGCTCAGCTTTCTAGGATGAAGGACTGAGAAATATAGGTCTCTAAAGACTTCTATAGTTTACATTAAAAATGCATTTCTTTACTCAGTAGCATTTTCTCCCCTTTCAGGAGAGGGTGTGGTTTTTATTTATCCAAGTCACCTCTGAATGTTTTATAAATCAGAAGTAAAATACTAACAGCTCCATCACTAATACCTGCTCTTTTTTCCCCCTCATCACCCTTATTTACACATTCTAAGAAACCATCTGAAAGATGAATACACAAGGCAGATGTTACCAGATATTCTGACTGGTTACTCACATCATACTCTGCAATTCAGGAGTAAAGCTGGTCGATTTTCTTCCACTGCTCGAAGAGACAACTGTTGACATTGGGCTGGCCACAGTGCTGCTCATCTGAGTAAACAAAGGAATAACAGCACTTAATACTTGTATTTCATTTCCAAGAGAGCACACGTAGGTTTCACACTACATATTCAGAAGGGAATAAAAGCTATTTGGGGTAGAATTGCAGGTAAAGGTTCTGCACGCTAAAAGAATCCCCTGTGAGACACTGCAGAAAATGTAAGAGTTGATATTTACAGTAAGCAAAGTGTTGGAAACATGCACTATTTCTGAAATACCAATTAGAGGTATTCTAGGAGCACCACTGGAAAAGCATTAAGATAAAAACACCACTATTCTGGAATAGATGGTTCTCACAGGCACCAGTACCTTGCTACCCAAATCATTCTCTTATATTCCTGCAGTATCCTCACCATTAGTGAATCACACCCACACCATCTCCACTGAACTCACAGGAGCAAAAGAGATTCTCAGAAAAAGCTAAAACTTAATGAGCACAGACATCACAACCTTCCTTTCTAAAACACCAGCTTTATGTACACACACTACTTAAAACCTTAAAAATGGAAATGCATTAAAAAGAGTAAGACTTGAACACCATGATACTTATAGGACTGAAGGGACTACACTTATTCAAAATAGATTACAGCTTTTCTATATAAATTTCTCATTCAAAAACTCCAAAGTATAATTTTACTCTTATTCTATGAAGAAATTAGTGCATTTACATTTTCCTCTTTAATAATATGCAAGTCAAACGCCTTTGAACTATTTCATTTTAAAAAAATACTTAATTTACTAAAACACTGACTAAGCAAAACTGAATTACGGAAAACCCTATAAATATGTAAAAGGGAGTTTCATTTTTCCCTTAATGTTTTAAAAAAACCCTGCACATTGTGTAAGTCTCCTGATAAACAGGATATATTCCCACTACATTTCTTCCTCTTCTAGTTTGTTGCACACTAGTAACAGTTGAGTTGCACTGCTCATTTTTGTACTATTAGTTGTAGCAGTAGTAATGACAATAAAAGCTATATGTTGGTATAGTTTGCTGTGCTGTAAGAGATCCTACCTTTCTCCATTTAAAAGTTCTAAGGTTAAGATAGATTACTTTTCTAAAAAGCAATCTTAAAGTACAGGACCAGATTTAAATTAAATGTCATTAAAAGCATTGCAATCAATCCCAAATATTCTGCTTTGGTTGAAGAAAACTTATAATAGTCTAAACACAAGTCATAAGATACCTTCAAAAAGTCACATGTGTTTTGAAAGGCTAATGACACAAGAGCAGCTGGACAAACGATGAAAAATAAGAAGTTCATGCTTTAGACGGAATCATAGAATGGTTTAAGTTGGAAAATACCTTTAAAACCATTGATTCCAACCATTAACCTGGCACTGCCAAGTCCATGAGTAAACCATGTCCCATGCCTTTCAAACCCCTCGAGGGATGGTGAACTCCACCACTTCCCTGGGCAGCCTATCCCAATGCCTGAGCACCTTCTCCATGAAGAAACATCCTAATGCCCCATCTAAGCCTCCCCTGGCACAACTAGAGGCTGTTTCCTCTTGACTTGTCACCTGAGGCAAGAGCCTAATCCCCACCTTGCTACACCTTCCTGTCAGGGAGTTGTAGTGAGCAAGAAGGTCTCCCCAAGTCTCCTTTTCTCCAGGATGAGCAACACCCCCAACTGTTCCTCATCTGATTTGTGCTCCAGACCCTTCCCCAGTTCCTTTGCCCTTCTCTGGACTCATTTCAGCACCTCAACATCTTTCCTGTATTGAGGGGCCCAAACTGAACCCAGGATTCAAGGTGAGGCCTCAGCAGTGCCCAGCACAGGGGGATGGTCACTGCCCTGGCCCTGCTGCCACACTATTGCTGGCACAGGCCAGGTGCCATTGGCCTCCTTGGCCACCTGGGCACACGCTGGCTCATGTTCAGCCATTGCCAACCAGCACCCCCAGGGCCTTTTCCAACAAGCAGCTTTCCAACCACTCTGTCCCCAGCACTGCACGAGGTTATTGTGATTAAAGTGCAGGACTTGGCCTTGTTGAACCTCACACACCTGGCCTTGGTTGATTGATCCAGCCTGTCCAGATCCCTCTGTACAGCCTCCCTACTCCCACCCAACTTGGTGTCATAAGTTTACTCATTTTTATTAATGCTTTCAAGTAGATTTTCACAGACTTCTGTTCATCTTCAAGCAGATTCTAATTTGGGTCCCCATCCTGCAAGCACTTATGCACATGTGTAACTTTAATCACAAGTTTGCTCTCACTAAAGTCTGATTTTAATCACATGAGTAGTTACACACTAGGCTTCAGTGTTGTCATAATCAGCAATTACCAGAGTCATATAACCTAAACAGTCAAATTAGTTAATTTTAAAAACAAAAAAAAAATGTTTAAAAACTGAACAGCATACAAAGACTTAAGGGGGTTTTAGTTTTAAGTTTAAGGTTTTTTTAAAACTAATATAATTTAGTATCATATAAATGGCTATTTCCTTTGACCATCCATAACAGATATTTTACTTTATCCATGAGGTTCTTTTCTACTAACTTATGAAGCATTCTCCCAAAATTCCCAAAAACCTTGGGACAATTCCACAGTTGCCTCCTCCTAGTGTAAGATTTGTAATTCCTGCAAGTCCTGTCTTGGGGTAAATCCTTTCCTAGGTTCCTGCCCTCCAAGTGGACAAGAACAGTTTAATTAAAAAACACTCCCAGGGCTGGAGATGTGTGTAAGTATCCGTAGGCTTGAAAGCTGAAAGCTTATTGGCTATTGCTTCACTAAAAACTTGATCTTCCTATTGCAACCAAATGATTTAACTTTCAAATCAAGCAGGTGTACAGCATTTTCTTGACATTAAAAACCAACAGCTTGTCAGGCTTCATCAGACCCTTTACAATAATTACTTCCACAGCCCACGTTTTGTTTGATGGTTTAGATAATTAACTTCTTTACACATCAAAGTCCCATCCTCCGTATGTTCTATTTCCTTTCTTCCGGACATTAAAAAAAAAGAAAAAAAAATCATTCAAAAGCAGAAGCACTCTCAAATCAATTTTCTTCAATAAGTACAGCTATCATGGAACTGAAAAGCCTACAGTAATCTTCAATGGGTCGATATACTGTATTTGTTTTAACTCCAAACTGAAATGCAGCTGTTCGCCATATTCTACAAAATGAATTCAGATGTTCAGATTAGGTCACAGATTATTTCAGTGTGCTGTATTTTAATCATGAACTCTAGAAAGAAGACAACTTCTGATTAACACTATCTGGACTGGTAATTATGAGTTTGTATCCAAAGAGGTCCAGCTTTTATAAATTCTTTTCCCATAAGTAAAATATTACAATCAAGGGTATGGTTAAAAATGCATATTAAAATGTGTATATAATCATCAATATATTTTAAAGCATCTTCTGCAATCTCAGTGTCTTTTACACTGAAGAGTCACAACAGAAAACAGTACTTGTTCCATATGAATCAGCAGAACAAAAGAGTTCTCAGCTGAGGGAAACAAATTTTAAGTCATTTCTCATCAGGTTCAGGCCCATCCCTCTCACCACAGTAAGACATCCAGGCAGACTTTCATTTCATAGCCCTCCTTCACTCCCATATCCACCCTGAAATAACCAAGTAGTACTAACTCACACTGACTCTTCTACAATCAAAGAGATATCTGTATAACCCATCTACTTATTCAAGAGCAAGCTGAGAGATGTATAAAAATTGAAATTCCACTGCTCCTAAAACGTGAATTTAATATACAGGCTATACATTTAGCCAATAACAGTAAATCACAAAATCTGCAAGCTGACTCATATTATTTGGGACATACATAAAGCAGCCTTAGCATACATATATATACACAGAGAGACAGAGAAAGAGAGAGAGAGAAATAGTGTCATAGAATAGTTTAAGTTGGAAGAGATCTTAAAGATCACTTCATTCCAACCCCCCTGCTATGGACAGGGACACCTTGTTGCTCCAAAGTTGCTCCAAGCCCCACCCAGCCTGGCCTTGAACACTTCAGGGATTGTGCAGCCACAGCTTCTCTGGGCAACCTGTGCCAGTGTCTCACCATCCTCACAGCAAAGAACTTCTTCCCAATATATCTAATCCCACTCTCTTTAAGTTTAAAGCCATTCCCTCTTATCCCATCGTCACACACCCTTGTCCAAAGTCCCTCCCAAGCTCTCTCAGAGCCCTTTTAGGTACTGGAAGGTGCTGTGAGGTCTCCTCAGAGCCTTCTCTTCTCCAGCCTTAACAACATATACTCAGTCAACAAGTCTCTTGAAATATTGCTCAAATACTTTCACCAGCCACCATTTGCCAAAATGTCACATGAAGATCCAAGAGAAAAGTGCATCCAAACAATCACTAGAGAACATTCCTCTAAACACACAGTTTGAGTGACCTAAACTCACTCAGGAAGAGCAAACATTAACAGTAATAACAGCTGTCATTTCACCAAAAGAAAACACCTAAGTCTAAACTGGGTCTGTTTAAAACAAAAGTGGATTTGCACAGATAGGCCAACAAAGGTGTAGAATTACCCCAAAAAAAAAAACCAGCAGTGTCCTTGCATAACTTTTTGCACTGAATAACACAGAGCAGAAGTTACCATCACAATGACTTAATTCATAAACATACATCTAATGTAGTTATCACATCAGTCCTCTTCTCTTGCCTTTCATAAACCCATTTTGCATATAAACTGAAACCATGCAAAAATTTACAGACTGACAAATTTTCATTTATATAAACCCAAACAAAACAGGAAGGAAATAAAGGCCAAGATGACCATGAATTAACACAAAATTAAAATGAATGCTTTTGTTTTCACACCCTTTACTTCAGAGTAATTAGATTAACTAGTCTGCTGCCACTGAGCATTTCACTAGATGCATGGCCTCACCAGCTGACAAGAGTGTAAAGTAACAGTTCTGGAATTGGAGATGTAACAACTTAATTAAATACAGGAAATACAGATATTTTTTTTTTTTAGTGCATTTCTTTTAAAAAACAAAAACACAGC